CATCTTTTTATACGGCTATTATCTTATATAGATGTCCTCTTCAAATCGTTTTATATTGTAGTTGATAGCCCACGAAGAGTACTATAAAGCAGTACAATTTGATATTCCCTTTGGTTACCTTTAGAGGAAATAGAAAAGAAAAATCTTTTTTCTTGAACAAGGCAAAATTATTTACAACACAAATTTCAACATTTTTAACTTCTTCACCTGAAAAATGATGGGGCTCACCATTTTTTTTTGAATTTATTTTCTCAACATTATAGTTTATGGCTGACCGAAGATTCCTATGAAGTTAATATCCAGGGTATCAGATGAGTACTCGAGTATTTATGGTGTAATAATGTTAACGAATTGTTCAATGACATGACTGATACATTTTCAGCCATTTTCCTCATTAGAAACGCCCTTGATGACAAAGCTTTTCTGCGGTGATATCGGTCTTTTAATCGCTTGCGCCTAACAGCAAAAAAAAAAGGTAACTTTCAAGCATATAAGCTTAATAAAGGCTATCAGAACTGCATCTCAATGTATAATAGACAAGACATCTTGATTTGCAATATGGTCGCATTCATAAACTTTTTTTTACTTTTACAGGTACATATTTCAGTTGTTCGTTTGGACATTTTGACCAACAACGGTTTATTTTTATCTGGTATTATTGTAATAAATAGTTCTTAGCAGAACACTTGTTTTACAATCAATCACACAGCTAGATCTTATGGCTTTGTTTCGACAGTATAATATTAATATATGCTAGATTTTCGAGAGAGTAGAAAGTAGTATAATCATATAAACTTATATTAAAAATAAGAAAACCCGGAGTTATCTATGGTGGTTATCTAGTATAACTACTGAAGAGTCAACACTAAAAAAATGACGCTTATAGTTCCTTCGAGCCATGGAAAAAACATTCTACGATAAAAAAAATTTTTGTGTAAGTTTTTTTGCAAATCACCCGTATAATCAATAATAGACAATTAGATATAAAATCACCAGTATGACCATATTTTGTGACGTGTACGGTCCGTTACAAGTATCGTAATGCTCGTCCTGGGTGGTGCAGTAAGTGTTGATTTCGAGAACTTTTATTTTTATCTCATTTTATGTTAATTACAACGACAGATCAAACAGTAGCTATTATTTTATTTTAATAAATTCTATTTTTATTCTTTGATTATCTGTAACAATAAATCAAGCAGTATGAATTTATTTGAACAAATTTTATGTCTCATTTTCAGACTATTTATAACGACAAATCAAACAGTGAGTATTAATCTATTTGAATAAATTTTTTTTTTCTTATTAGATTATTTATAATGATATATCGAACAGTAAATAGTAACTTATTTAAATAATTTTTTTTTATTTTTAGATTAGTGAGAATGACAAATAAAAGGGTAAATATGAACTTGTTTAGATAAAGTTTCTTTTTATTTTTTAGATTATTTATAATGATATATAGAATTTATAATTATATATAGAATCGTAAGTCATTTTTTATTTAAATAAATTTTTTATTTTTAGATTAATGAGAACGACAAATGAAATAGTAAATATTAATGTATTTCAATAAATTTTATTTTTAGTTTTAGACTATTTATAATGATATATAGAATTTATAATTATATATAGAACAGGTAAGTAACTTTTTATTTAAATAAATTTTTTTTTCTTTTTAGATTAATTAGAACGACAAATCAAATGGTAGGTATGAATTTGTTTAAATAAAGTTTCTTTTTGTTTTTAGATTATTGATAATGATATGTCGAACAGTAAGTAATTTTTTATTTTTACATTAGTGAGAACGACAAATCCAATAGTAAGTATCGATTTATTTGAATAAACTTTATTTTTATTTTTAGATTATTTATAAATTTTATTTTTACTTTTAGATTATTTATAAATTTTATTTTTATTTTTAGATTATTTATAGACTTTATTTTTATTTTTAGATTATTTATAAATTTTATTTTTAGTTTTAGATTATTTATAACATATAAAAGTAAGTAAGTTCTTATTTCAATAATTTTTTATTTTTGGATTAATGAGAAGGACAAATCAAAATATAAGTGTTAATATTAATTAATGTGGGTGCCAGCCAGGCTGGGCACCCACATTAATTAGTTTTTGTGTTATTTTGAGAGTGGAGGGGAGGGGGAGGGCAAATTGAAAAACCTTATGTGGAATACGGTAACAAACGACATTGTATACGATCATTTACGATCGTTTACGGTAGGCGTATAGACGTCGTATTTCGCTGTATACGACACGACGATATACGGTCGTAATTCTGGCGTCAAGTAATACGGCGAAATACGGTCGTATACGATCGTAATGTACGCCGTATACGACCGTACACGATCGGATACGACGTCGTATACAATCGTTTACGACTGTCGTAATCCTCGTCCTGGGCAGAAAGATTAAAAATTACACTTGATTGATATTTACATATTTATTGTTCAATTCACACCACATTAAGTTCTGTATTTGATGAAAGATTTCTGAAGCACTAAGGCATCGATTTACAGGGAATTTATGTATATAATGTTGGCAGCTGTTGCAATTTATTTTTTGAAACGCTACTATGGATTTTACTATGTATTTTTGATATGAAATATTAAGATTGAGAACGAAGATAAAGTGAGTGCTTGTTCAAAGGTGAAAGTGAAAACAAAACTAAAGAAAAAAAGAAACGAAGGTGCGAGATGGCTCTTCTTTGGCATGATTTTTACTTTTACAGCTAAAAGATATTATATACTACGAAAGATAAATTAAATAAATCTAAAAAAATATCCTGTAGTGCTCAACAACTTCAATGTTTGAAGGCTTTGTTCGACCTGACGTAAACCATGATCTTCAAAACATTTAATTTATTTTTGATGAATTTTTTTTCTATTAAATTAAAATCCAATTGCAATTTAAATCTAAAACATAGTGCTTCAGAAATCTTTCATCAAATACAGAATTTAATGTGATGTGGATTGAACAATAAATATGTAAATATCAATCAAATGTGATTTTTAATCTTTCTCAATAATTTTTATTTATTTTTAATAAAATTAGACATGTGTTATGAAAATACAAAATTAACTATAAATATACATTTTTATTATGATGTCATCGATTATTAAATAATTATTTAGTATTTAGTTGATCTGAAATAACTTAGATAAGAATGTTCGTCGAAGTTACTTTAATTTAACCAAATAAAAAATAATTATCAAGTAATTGATGATATGATGAATGTTTTATATATTTACAGTCAATTTTTCCAAATATATAGACGAAATTATTAAAAAAGCTTAATGTTTTTTTTTTGTTAAAAACTTTATATGATTATCAATTTATATTGACGATACTAATACTTGTAACTAAATTAAAGAGATCTGTAGAATACTATACTCTGATTTAAACTACATTTTAACTTTATATTAATAAGAAACAATATTACATATAAATATCAGTTAAATGCTCACCAGAGTCAGATTCACACTGACATAAATTGCGGTATTTACTCAGAATGAAGTGTATTCAGACAGTTATCTTTCATGTTATTAAACCGAAAACATACATATCGTAATTATCAAAAAAACAACCATAATCCTTTCATTGATTTGCAAGAACACATACATCAGTTAGACTCAGTTCTCGACTGTAGATTCGAAATTCATCAATGGCTCCAGTGAATTGTCCTGCAGAGATAGAACTTGTTTGGCAATTAGAACCCAACGATCCGTAATAACCAAGTAAAACATAATCTGGAACCCCACTGGCCGAATAACTTGCAGCCCCCGTGGTTCCCACTTGAATTCCATTCACGTATAAAATAAGCCCATTGGTTGTACTGTAAGTTTCAACAATATGTGTCCACACATTCAACGGAAGTGTAGATCCGACTATAGGGATTGCAGATCCATTCCATAATTGAGCAACAAGTCTGTTTGAAGAATCTAATCCGATAAATGGTACACACCATGGAGAGACACCGTTAGTATAGCCGTTGGCCCCATTTGCTACATGAACAATCGTCCCAACGCCGGTGTATGCGGTTGGTTTGACCCAAAGTGAAAATGAAAAAGCTTTATTCGATGTGCCCAATGCGACCAGATCACCGACAGAAAAGTAGGTACTCGATGCACCGAATGTCAAAGCTTGATTGACATAACCACTGACAGTAGTCACGCCAGATGTGATGATACCAGTGGAATAATTCGGGCCACTATCTTGTAGAGAACCAGAATCAAATGAAAAATAGGCAACTAGAGTTGCATCATCCAGGATTTCGCAAGCACTCTTAGCCCGATTGCTTACTGCAAAGAAAAGAATCAATAAACAAGAAAAAAATTATCAACACGACATACCGAACATATGATCAATAAGTCCCTTGAATTGATTATTTGTCTGAAAAGCACCTATATGTCGATACAGAAATAAATTCAGAACAAAGATTTTTCTAACATTCTATTTCATACCTATATTGACCAGCCCCGACGTGCCCACATAAGCAGCGGGTGTTCCAGTTAAATTTGCTTGTCCATCATTGTAACCATTGCGATAGATATTTTGTTGTTTACTGGAAAAATCATAGACAAATGCCACATGCAGCCAAATGCCTGCGAGACTAGCTGGCAATGTTGTTCGACTCACGAGATCATCGACCCAAAATCCTTTTTCAAAGAAACAAACACGCAGCAGTATCAACACTTTCATATCAACTGATACTTACCCATATATATATTATATGGATTGAAATTTCTCAGAATTAAATGCATACAATTATCTTTTGTAGCACCGCTAAGATCACATTCCCCGAATACGGCATAATCCGGTCCATTTGTAACCAATGTCGCTGGTTGAATCCAGGCTTCGATGGTAAAACTTGAGTTAGCGAAATTGATAAATGGCGTCGTTACATATTGTGAGCCATTCAAACTCAATGCTTGGCCAACATAGCCTGTATTATATCCAGGATTGTTCACACCGGTGCCATTGTAGACCTAGACAGTCTCGGATGTATATGAATGGAAGATATGAATTCCTACATTAAGAATATCGTTCAAATTGCTTTCAAAAGTCCATACTGCTGTATAACTTGACAGAGCAGCTCGACTGGTAATATTACAGGTCGCATTGCAAGATGTTGGTAAATCTAAAATTATTCAATAGAAATCAAAAACAGAAAAATTTCTTTTCGATTTCTTTTCCATTGAAAGCATCATGGGGATGCGATTACTTACAAGTAGTAGTGGAAACTGTAGTGCTGGTAGAAGTGGAAGTCGATGTAGTCGTCTGTTTATTGAAATAGAGTACAGCCAGAAGAGCAGGTACTGTAATAGCAGTGATTAACAAGCAGCAAATTCCAATACTAAATGGGAACAACCAACCACGTCGGCATGAACGTCTTTCCAAAAGTCAATTCAGTTATATGAACGAAAAGCAAAACAAGAAATCATACTTTGATGGAATTTCTACTAAATCTTTCACATTAAAACTTTTCACGGCAGATTGCGATTGTTTTGATGATGTATACGATATGTCCGATCCAAAGCCTATCAGTGATGAATTATTCAGATTACGATAAGCTTTCGTTCGTTTAGTACCAACGAATTGAAGACGGGGTATATACATTCTTCCTTTTTGTGTATCGGTCGTCATTGTACAATCGATACTTGTTCTTCAGCGTGCGCCACTCTTAAATCAGCAAAGACGATACTGCTTTGTAAAAACAATTATTAGTTGTTTCTGTTGCACAAAACAAACAAAACATTGAATGGTTCCCCTTGCATCCTCTTGACGAATGCAGCATTTATACTTTTTTTTAGATTTAATGCTTTTATAGATGCCCACGCAATGTTTTTTCTTTCTTGCTGAATTTATAGTTAAAAGTCGAATTGTTTGTTGACATGAGCATTTATGAGAAAAAAAAAGAAAGAAAAAGGACTTCAATCGTTCAAAAAACAGGAACTGCTACTCGTTATAATATTCATTTTATTTTGGCAAGTGAACACGATTGTTTTAGTTTAGTAGATAACAAGGAATCAGAAGAATAATGAACAAAATAAATAATAATAAATTTTTTGTGTTCTTGTAATTTTTTATTTTTTTTTAACTATTTTGTATTATATTAATAATCAAGTAAAAAAAATAAATAATAAGAAAAGAAGAAGGAAAAATGACAAAAGGAAGAGAAATAGTAAGAAGAATATTAATATATAAATAACGCTAGGCCTTTCGAATCGATTTCTTTATCAAGCGAATAAAACGAATAAGAAATCTATGAATCGGATAGCATAGCGTTATATAGTTGATTGAAATAATCTGCTCATTATTCTATTAAAATAGACATAATTGATCATCATTTTAACTCCCCGACTGGATCTAAACGAGATCTATCGAATGGACATCAATCGAGCTTGATTCGATGCTCCCCTTTCCAGAGAAACGTCTAATCCAGGGCTCAATTCTTCAATTTTTCAATAAAACCCGAACCGATTCGTCCAGAAGTGCTTTCCAACTGAGACATATGGCTTTCCAAATAGATCTCAAATAGATCTATCGAATGGAGATCCTTAGAACTTGATTCAATGCTCCTCGTCCCAGAAAAATGTTTAAGCCAGGGTCCAATTTTCCAGCTTTTAATGAAAGCCGTAAGGATTCACTGAGAAATACATTCCAACTGGGACATATGATCTTCGAAACAGATCTAAACGAGATGTATCGAATGGACAGCTTTTGAGTACAATCAGATGCTCCTGAGGAAAGGAAATCAGTAAAAACTAGCCGAAATCCTAGGTTGTTCCGTAAAACTTCTCAGGATTCGCCTAGCAGGACTTCCTAAGGTGTTCGTAGAACTTCTGAATTAGAGCCTGACATGCTCTATCGATTGAACAGTTTCCGAGCTCAATTTGATGCCTCTGTCTTTTGAAAACCTGTTATTTCCTGTGAGAAATTAGCTTTTTCGTGGCAGAACCTGTCACGATTCACTCCATCCTTGATACAAACTACACGATTGATGGTTCGAGCGAGAACTCGCAGAATTCAATCGAATGGATAGCCGGGTGAATGTCCTAAGGGTTGATGGCGTACATAGTTGCCTCCCAACCATATGTTTTATGCCTCGCAAAATATACAATCAATAGAATGAGCACATGCCGGCCACTCAACAGCTGTAATAGAGTGGATTGAAGGGTTTTAATTCGAGGAGAACTATGAAACGAGAGGGGAAAGAATTTATCGTGCACGATATCAAGAGATGGAAAAGAAAATTAATTTATCATGCGGGATAAGACAACGAGAAGAAAAAAAACTCACCGCGCAGTATCTTATTTCGAAGCGAAGAAAAAGTTTCATTGGATGATTTCTGTAACCGAATTCAATGCTTATTTATTTTTTCTCTGCATGAATTAGGAGGAAACAAAAGAAACTACGTGAATCTGGAAGCATCCGCGCTGATTTCCTGAAGCATCTTGATTAACTATGCAAAAAGTAGCATTTTGCTTTTGGGAAGGGCGGCGAGTACCCGAATCGGATGAACAAGCTGTCTGTTTGAAAGAGATTGCTGATATTTCTCTGTACAGTTGTGTCATCCGCTGTAAGAGTGATTCTCAGCCAAGCACACCGGCTTCAATGTGAAAAATTTACTAAGTAGGCGGAAATTACTGGATCACGCTGGCACCGGATAGACAAATCAGATCAGAGAAGAGTCTCTTACATAGAGCTTGTCGAGTTCTATCAGCAAAAAATCAATTATGTAGTTGGAACCAATGGTTGACTGGATTGCGACAGGCTCTTTCCACGAAAAACGGAATTTGTGACTTTGAATCGGGCGTTTCCAACAGCCAACCCTATTGAAGTCGGCTAAAAAGGTACTCCATCGGTAGAGCTGATCACGATCTACTTCAAAACTTTCATCTAGTTGTTGGAAAGTGCTTTCAAACGAATCCTGTAAGGTTTTACAGAAAAGCCTAGGATACTCCGAGTTTTTTGCAGATTTTCTTGACTCAGCATCATCTGATTCTGCTTAAAAGGTATCCAATTGGTAGAGCGGGTCAGATTCCATTGGGAAAGTAATGTATTAGAATTGCAGATAACTCTAGGGCGATTCGCTACGGCATTTATTGAAAAGCAGAACGAGTGGATCTCGGATCAGACGTTTTTCTCAGAAGGAAAGCATTGAATCAAGCTCTAAGGATCTCTATTCGATATATCTCGTTTAGATCCAGTCGGGAAGTTATATGTTGGACTTGGAAAGTACTCCTGGACAAGTCTCTTCAGATCTTAGGAGAAATCTACGGATCGAACCTGTGATTGATCGTTTCTGAAGGAAAGGGTTTATCAAATTGAGCTCCAAAGGTGTCCATTCGATAGAGCTCGTCCAGTTCTACTTGGAAAGTTGTTAGACTATTTTGGAAAGTTTTCTGGAGCGAATCCTTTCAGGAAATACTCGAATCCTGACCTAAGATATCCTACGTAAAAGAAAAAACAACAATCAGAGTAATCCATGCCGACTGATGCATGCAGTTCAACATTCTTTTTATTGTATTATCCACAATCACGAAATGACCAAATATAGTATTGAATAGCATTATTTTAACATTCGAAATAATTTTGAGAGTTTGATATTCCTCACTGGTTCTCTGATTTTGTCAATGGAATTGAATACATATATAAAGATCAGCAATAGAGGTCATTGATAGTTTGTTGTGTATATTTTACAGAATAAGGTTTTGTTAATTGCAGAACGTGCTTCTTGAAAAGATTTATTCGATATAGTTATCCTTCATAATAAGTGATTGATAATTACTTCTTTATAACATTTATTATCTACTCATAATTGATACGTATGACCAAAAAAATTCTATTTTATCTTATGCCAGATTTTGATGATTATACCCATGTAAATATTTCGACTATTCTTAAAATAAAGATCACATTATCTACAAAAAAAAACTCAATCTTCTAGAATTCGATAATTTTCCAAACTCTACGCATCAACATTCAAAATGATAACAAAGTTAGTATGTACAATGAATCAGTCTTTGTAATAAAATGAGAAATCTTCATTAAAAGAAGCTCTAGTTGATGAATTAACTTATCTTGGATCCTTATATATAAAGATGAACCATATGAAAAAACTATTGTTCGATTCAATGATCAATTTTTGACTCGAAAACTTATCATCATTAAGTTTCATAGCAATTTCACATAGTACACTGGAGGTTTAGTTATGTACGTGAAACTAAGAAATATTTAAATCTTTTATAAAGCAGAAAATAAAGGCAATAATTAATAATCACTTTCTATAAGTATCATCTAATAAATTATAAAAATTTTCTCTTTCTTTTGAAAATTAAATTGAAAAACAAGACTAGTTACTCATACAATTTTACCTTTTCTTTTATTTAATTTCAATTTATTGGTACTTTTTTGTATAATAGAAATAAATAATTAGAAAAAGCCTATCTTTTCACAAAATTCTTTTTTTGCATCATTATTATTAATTAATAAACGCTCGGAAACATCAACTATTGAATCAATTCCCGCATCGGGTCATGACTGACCTACCGTCCTTATTCATTATAGTTCACTATCAAAAGAAAGTATCCAGGACAAAGTAGAAAAAAAAAACTACTAATTCTAAAAATTCATTTTTTGAGATAAGAACATTTTCTATTAAGAAATATCGATGTGAAGTTAACACGACGAATAGCTACTAGGACAGATTTAGATAAACCTAAAATCCTGAATATTTGGACTTTTCAGGGCGGAAATCTGGGTGCAGGTGCTTGTGTACATATTGCCGAGCATCCACATCCAACTTCCGTCCCCACAATACCCAGCGTTACAGACTTCAAGTTCACCTAAATCCGTCATGAAAGCTAATCATCGTGCTAGCTTCACATCGATTTACAAAATCATTATATTTTGGATTCATAAATAAATAAATAAATGTACATTTATCTTGAAGACGAAAGTATAAAGATTTGCGTTTATATTTAATTGCTATAAAAGATATCTGTTGATTGAAACTTGTTCGACTGTCCTCACTTGTAGAAAAACGTCAATTTTTGTTTTTGTTTTTCGTTTTGCTAGGATTTCATCAATCAATTAGTTTCATTTTTTAGAAAATATTTTAAAAAATAAAATACTATAACATGAGCAGAAATAAAATTAAAGCAATAACTATCATCGAAATAATAAAATAACAACACCTTTTCAAGAAGAAATAAAAAGCAAAACATTTTTTTTAAGTTTCTTTCGTTTGTCATTGATATTTCAAGAATATTTTATATTCTTGAGATTTGCAAAAGTTTTATGAACAAAGACAAAAATAAAAATTTATCTGTCACCTAAAAATAAATTATTCATTCGTAATAGGGTAATGAACTAGACAGATAATCTCGTTTTGTAACAAAACTCAAAGACAAAAAAATAAAAAATAAAACAATATACCGAAAATTTTGAACAATTTTTATTTAAAGTTGAAAATAAAATAGAACCATATCTGATAGAGATCGATAAATCTCATTATATTTCTATAAATATTATCTTAGAAAATAATGTAATTATCTAATAGTTTTTCTTTGGTGTAAATCAATCTATTTTCTAATAAGTATTTATAAATATAC